CACCCACGGACTTGTCTTCGGACCCCCGTGTGGTGCGGTTGCTGGACGAGTTCGCCGACATCTTCGAGTCACCTACCGGTGTGGTGCCGGATCGGTCGATCTCTCACAAGATCATTCTTGAGGCCGGTGCCGTGCTGTTGAAAGGTTGCATCTATCGGATGAGCAAGGAGGAGCTTGCATGAGGTGCGAAATAAACCGGCACGACCTCGATGTAATGGTCAAAATTGCAAGTCAAAAACAAAATCTCGTGCTATTGTTTATAAAACTTTCTATTAGACAAAGTTACCTTCAATTGAAGGCCAAATAACTCATGGAGTTTCATATAATGCAACTGTCTGTATGACAATCAATTGTTTATGGATTTTCATTTCATCTCTTACGAGGAGTTTCTTTCATATGTCAAGGGCTGGTAAGGTTTTGCGCGTTGTATCGAATTAAACCACATGCTCCACCGCTTGTGCAGGCCCCCGTCAATTCCTTTGAGTTTCAGCACAAAGTGCAGCAATTCGGACATCTCCGCCGAATTGCTGGACACGAAGTGGTGGCCAAAACTGCTTCAAAATGTAAAAAACAAACAAATAAAAGTGATAAAAAGTCAGACTAAGTTCACAAAATTTGACAAAAAAAATACTAAATAAAACAGTAGTAGCTAAAAAAACACCACAAATTATATGAAAAATAGAGAAAGTAGAAGTTAATTGTGGCTTATAAATAGTAATATGAGGTGATAATGGTGAAGCTTTGAAAGCATATATGCAAATTTCCCTAAGCTTCGCCCTTTTTTTTTGTTTTTGTTGCGTCTTTCCATCCGCCAACTTGATCGCCGTCGGGTTTGCCTTCCTCCGAACTTGTGCGTCAAGGCTTAGCTCATGAAATTGCGAGACGCGCCGCTATCCAGCAAAGCGCTGCAAGACGCTTGCCCAACCTAGATGCAGACATACATGAGCGGTGCGTTGTTGTCATCGTACCGCTACGTTCGAAACTCGTGGGCCACCTTGGTAACATACACAAGGATGTCCCCCACTGCGACTTCGTCCTCCGTCGGCGAAGTTGGTGGTGCATAGAAGGATAAGTACATGTGGAGATGAGCGCATAGTGCTGCGCATTGCGGTCCCGGCAAGCGGCCCCTGGTTGGGAGAGGAAGCCATGCAAACTCCTCGGACGTGAGCGGGTCCAATACCTCTATGTTGAACTCGCGCGTTGAATCCCGTGAAGAACCATTTGAAGACGATAAGTCGCTGCTGCTGGACGGGGAAGATGTCGCACACACGTCTTGTCCTTGAGCTTGAGTACCCAGCGTAAGAACGAGCCGGGCAGCATAGTCCTCAAAAGAATACAGAAGAGGAGGACTATCGACTTCTGCATGCGCCTCGGAATGAAGGCCGTTCACTCGCTAAGAGACTGGTTTCGGAGGCGTCGAGAGTGTCGTCGAGTCACTCTCGGCGGTGCTGAGTTTCCCTGTTTGCCCTTGCCATTCAATGGGCAGGCCAGTGTCTCAGGGAGATCGTTGTTGCACCAAACGCAATAGTGGAATCTCGTCACGCTTTGAATGCTTGCTCGGAGATGCCATATTGGGACCATGGGGCTGGGGCTGTCGCGCCGGGCCCGGGGCTAGATGCGGTGTGTCTTCGTCTTGCCGCGTCCTCGGCCTTTGCCGAGGCGGCCACCTTCCCGGGCGGCTGCGAGTCTGTCCCCTTTATTGGCAGACACGGCCTCGCTAGTTTGGTCAAACGGCGTTGCTGCCGCGACCACGACCACTCTTGGCCGATGCTGGTCTTTGCTCGGGCCTGGCGCAGACGAACGCAGGTTCTTGGCCTCCTTGTTCGTGATAATGATCTGCGCGGCCTTGTCAAAGAGTTCCGCCGTTGTCGTCAAGGTGTCCTCGACGTGAGTCAAGGCATTGCTTAATGCCGGACAGGACCTTGAGATGAAATAGTGGCGGATGGCTTTGAAGCCCATCTGGATGTCTAGGACTGATGTCAAGCGTTGGTACTCGGTAATCCAGTCGACACTCGGCAGCGTGCCTTGTTCGAAGACCATGAGCTTGTCCATTGCTTTGATCTCCGGCGGCTCTACCTGGAACCGCTTGTGCCACGCCGCCTTCAAATCATCCCAGCTGATCTTGGTGTGCAAGTCGGCAGCTACCACTCCGTACTTGGACAAGAGATTGTCCAACCATGCCTGGCATGCGCCCCCCGACCGGGAGTACAAGTATGGGTGGTGCTTGTGTTCTTTGACGTTGTGTAGCTGCAGTGTGAGCTCGAACTTGCGGAACCATGAAATTGGATTTGTCTTCGCCGAGTCGCAGAAGATCTCCTGCCCGTCGAACTTTGGAGTTGTCTCGTGCGGTTTTGAACTTGAGTGGTTGGCGGCAGTGCAGATTCGTTGTTCCAACTGTTGCGTTGCGTCCTGCTGTAACTGCACGCCGTCCTTGAGGGAGCCGACGTCCATCTCCAATGCTTCGAGGCAATCGGAGGTGTCAGAAGAGCTTGCATCGGAGGCGGCGACAGGTCGCTGCTCCAGCTGCCGGAGGCGGCCGTGGACTTGAGCTAGCGAGTCGTCGAGGCTGTGGATGTCCTCCTGCTGTGTAATGCAGGTTGCTAGGAGGTCTATGAGATGGGAGAGGAGTAGAGCGATCTTATTTTTGCTAGCCTCCATCTTGCCATTCTCGGCCTTGGTCCGCCATTCCGCTGCCATTGTGAGCAAAGTCTGCTCTCCGTTAAATATCTTCTCACGACGTTGAATTCTTTCTAAATATCTTCTCACGACGTTGAATTCTTTCTTCATCGGCAGCCTTTGCTGCTGCCTCGTCATGTTGGCGCTGTTGTTCAATTGCCAGCAGACGTGCCTGCTCAGCGTCCTCTGCCTTCTTCTTCGCTGTTGTTGCTGCGTCATCTGCCCGTCTCTTTGTTTCGGTACTCCAGGCCAGCATCCGGGCGTGATAGGCCTCGTCTGCTTCTCCGAACCTCTGGTCCATGACGGCTGTATGTGAACGCAACAGCATAGACCAGGTCCGGGGCCTGCTGACGTGGTATTCCCCACTGCTGACGTGGCACTGCTATCGGCTGACATGGCCTGCTGACATAGTCTGCTGACATGGCCTGCTGACGTGGCAACTTACCAATGCCGCCGCAGGTGGTACCCTGAGACAGGTAGAGAAGGTAGGACGAGGGGTGGCAACAACATAGGTGGGGAGGGATGGGTGGGATAATCGCCCAGATAACGCCCAGATAAGGAGCCACTAATCAAAAAAGAAAAGTTTGAACTTTGCAAAAAAAAAAAAAAAATTCGAGAAAAATAAAAATCCCGAGTTTTATACCCCTCACAAGGTGTGAAGGAGCCTGGCGCCATACACAGGAAGCAAGCGCCAGGTCCAGACATACACGGACGAAGAGGAGGGGATCAGACGAAGAGGAGGGGGAGAGATGGGAATGTCGTTAACACCAAGTCTTTGTCACAAGTCCCAAATAATCCCTCATCGAAATGTCTGAAGCCGAAAAGTCGAGTCTGGATCCAATGTCACCAAGCTCTCTCTCTCTCTCTCTCTCTCTCTCTCTCTCTCTCTCTCGTAGTCTGCTGATGCAGTGAAGTCAGATAATGAGACGGTGAGAGGGAGATGGCGGACTGAGAAGAGSAAGAAGAAGAACTCTCTCTCTCTGTCACGAGCCAGGTACTAACCTGTGAAGTTGGCGCTGTGCTGCAGGTACCTCGAAGACGAAGCTGGAGCAACGGCGCTGCTGGTAAGTACCTCTGGCCTCCGTCCAATCTCTCTCTCTCTCTAGTGCTATCCTCGCTATCGCGCCCAGCGCTGAAGACTACAGCTACCTACTGGCACCCAGCGCTGAAGACTAATGCTAACGCTACTGCTACTCCTGCAGCACTCCCTCCAGAGTGCTGCTGCCGAATCCTGAAGACTACTGACTGCCTCCTGCCTGCCCGTGAAGTGCATGGGAAGTCCCTATGTACTACCTCAGCCTGCCTCCTGACTGACTGCAGGGCGAGCCAGGCCAAGGAGGCTGCTCTTGCCAATGCCGAAGTGTGCCAGGGGCTGAGGCTGTCGTGAATAGCCTGTTCCCGAAACCCTGGTTCGCTGCCTGAGTTTCAGGGCCAGTCGTTCTGATGAACGACCGAAAATGGCCCTCCGTTGCAGGCTAAAAAGGCTGCTGCCATTTTTAGTCTGAAACTACCACAGGGTCTGTAGGCCCCTGTTTTCCTGGCTTTCGAGCTGACTGGTCACGGGGCCTGTAGGCCCTGGTTTTCAGGCTTTCGGCCTGAGGGACGCAGGGCCTGGAAAATGGCCCCTGTGTGCAGGTGCAGCATGTAATAACGGCAATGACAGCAACAACAACAACAACAACAAACAATGGATCTCCTCGTCTGCTACATATTCCTCTGAAGAATCACATATTTCGCCTTAGATGTTACCTGCAACTCTGCGGGGCCAGCTACTATTGCACCTGCCAATAGTGGATGCATCCCTGCCGTTGCTTCAAAATCATCCTCTGCGCACAATCATGTGTGTTTTCGAAAAAGAACCAAATAGATCCCCAATCCTTCCCTCACATGATAGGGAGACATGCCAAAAAGCACACGTGGGAGAGAGAGGGAGAGGGAGAGGGAGAGGGAGAGGGTGAGAAGCACCATGATAGGACTGGTGGGTAGGTATATGAGAGTGATGGCACATATATGAGCAACAGGAACAACATGTGTTCAGAGAGAAACTCTGGCAACTGTCTTTTCATAACCCATTCCTCTCATCCTCAACCTTCTCGTTTTTCGCTCCTCCTTTCGTTTGCACTCTACACTCCTTATCCCCTCTTTCCTTTCCTACACTCGAACAATTTCCTCCCCAACTTTCTGTCCTCCACCTCTTCCAATTCCCATCAATCGAATCGTTTTAGTAGAGGATCAAAACGACATTTGCAATCTATTAACTGTTCATTTCTCCTAATCCTCCCCCGCTTGTCATAACCCATTCCTTCCATCCTCAACCTTCTCCTTTTTCGCTCCTCCTTTCGTTTGCAGATTTGCACTCCACACTGCTTATCCCCCCTGTCCTTTTCTACACTCGAAAAAAATTCCACTTCCTCCCCAACTTTCTGTCCACCTCCTCTTCCGATTCCCGTCAATCAAATCATCATAGTAGAGGATCAAAACAATGTATGCCATGTCGTCCAGCTTATCCCGCTTGTAGTATTAGCCCGGAAGTTTTCGGCGTTTCTGACGACTCTTACGACACTTTGATCTGGACACGACTCCAATTCGCCAGAATAGGCTCAACTCTTTAAACCTCCGTGTGCTCGCATTGTAGGTAGGAAACAAGGTGCTGGAAAGAAACATGACTGGGATGACACAGCTTTGGCAGTTTGACCAGCAGATCAGGTTACTATGAAGTTAGTTCAACATGCTTGACGGAGACTCACCTTTCTCACTGCCAGATACTCGATGATCCGTTTCTTCACTTTCGCCAGGCCGTAATGATCCTCATCTAATTTCTTTCTTGCTTCATTTAGATCGATAAATTTCTCGCCACTGCTCTTGGACCAGGGTAGGTCTGCCAGCAGCTCCAGATAAGCTCTCTCGGGACCATAATGAACTTGCCGAGGCTGCATTTTTTTCAGCAAACTGGGACACAGAGGAAAAAGGGTGGCGAAAGACAAGAACCCACAGAATTCAGACACTCTTTTTTGGTGAAAAAAAGGGGCTTATAATAACTTTATATTAGTTATAATAGTTTATATTGATCCAAATTCAAACTCACGATCTGTTCGTCAGCAGGTTAATGTGTGTGCCATTTCACCCACAAAGCTGTGCAGATTGTGCAGATTCAGTCACATCTCTAGAAGGTCATAAGCCAGTATTTCATAATGGCAATTGATGGATGGGAGTTATGGGACAGATGCAGATTTGGACATCTGAACTTCCCAGAGCAACTACCTCTTTGGGATATACCTTGAACCACCAGTCCAAGCCCCAGACATCCTGAAAAACGAGCTTGTATACAAGCCCTGAAAACAAAGGCTTGGCCTACCGGACCCAAGGGGGGTACCCGGGGGTTGTGCAACATACCTTTTCTAAAGTTTTTTTATTAAAAAAAAATATAAAGGGCAACGGCCTTGAGATATCATCATGAAACTGACCAGCCCTAGGTAATTCAGAATTGCAGTACTTTGAAAGGATTCCACACTGCAAATGTCCCGAGTCCTGGTCCCAGAGTCCCAGTTGGTCCCAGTCCCAGAGGGTCCTCAGTTCTACCAGGTCCCATAGACCGAGTTCCAGGCTAGGATCTGTAGGTCCAAAAGGATGAAGGTTGAAGCGTTGTGGGTCAAGTCGGGCCGGTACAAAAACTCAGGTCGTTAGAAGTCCAGTCCAGGACCCAACAAGAAACGTCCAGTCCCACTGCTGTGGTACTGAACTGAAATTTTTTGGCCACGTGGGGGTCAGATAGTCTTTTCTACTTGACCTCGACACGTGAAACCCATATCTCTGAAGAGTCGGAACCCACCCTGATAATAGTTCAATCCACAGGAGAAAAAAAAAAAGTGGGTGTAAACTAGGGAGATATCCCGGGCGCCTGGGTCCCGACGTCACGCCCGGTTTGGCGAMCGGGTGACCGGCCGGGCATGACCCCCGGGCATGGGCCCGGGCAGCCCCAGCGCCCAAAAAAAAAAAGAAAAAAAAAAAAGCCTCCAAAAAAATCTGAAAAAAAAAATGTTGTGTAGAATTGCAATACAAACAACTTTTGGCTGAGGGTCACATCAGAATGCCTCACGGAACTGAAGATAAAAAAAAAAAAAAAAAAACCTAAATCACACAAAGGCACCCCCCTTTAAACCCCTTTAGCCCCTTTAAAATTGATTTATACTCCCCTTCCCCCCCCTTGATAGCCAACTCACAGGGGTGACGTGGTTTTGGATATATTGGCTCCCGAGTTATCTCCAAGTGGTTCTCATTGTTCAGAAGTCCGTTGGTTTCGGTTGTTTACGGGTGGTTTTGAGAATGCTTTAGGATTCTGGGGACTTCTAGCAAATCGCTTTAGGCTGTTTGATAATGGTACGTTCATGGATCTGCGGTTGTTCGATGCCAGAACAACGCTGGCCGGTGCTAGGGTGTTGCCCTGTAACCTGCTGATTGCAGGAGTGTGAGGCCTGGTAGAGAGATCTGGGGATGCTTTGGGTTGGGCATTCCAAGGGACAACCAAGGGTTGCAGTTGGGACGACGCTGGCCGGAGTTGAGGCGAGTCGTGTTGCTCTGTAACCTAGCCGGGTGGGGGTGTGAGGCCTGGGAGAGCTCGACAGGGAATAAGACAGTGTTGGACAGTTTTAGAGAGTTTTGTTTGGGAGTCTAGGGGTTCTGAGCATTCGAAAAGAGGTCAGTAGCCTCTCCAGGCTCTCCTTCAATTTTCTTGAATTTCTTCAATAGTTCTCAGATTGATTCTCAGCCGAAGCCGGGTAATGGCCCCGGTATCTCAAATAACTTGTGTAACTCTATATGGGACGCTGGGCCCGGTTCCCAGCACGTGCTGCTCCCCACGAATAGACTGGTGCATTTGTTCCCCCCCCCAAAAAAAAACAAAAAGCCAACTCTCAAAAAAAGAAAAGAGCCCGGATTTGGGCTCCTCTCGGAGAGCGCGGAAAAACCCCACCGCCTTTTTTTTTCTTTTGTTTTTTTTTTCTCCATGCCTGGGTATCCCGGGCGTCACGCCCGGGTGACCGGCCGGTCATGAAAATCTTCCTAGGGTGTAAACCAACAATATATTTTCCGTCATAAACTTGTGCATTTTTATTTTCGTAACCAGTTTTTCGGTTCACCCCCCCCAGGGCTGGTCCGGCCCCGGCTGCATCGGGTGAGCTGAACCGGCCAGTTGCCGGCCCCGCCTTGTAATGCAGTGAATGCACCAAATGATACCCCACAGCTCCATGTGTTCTGCAGCTGGGATCACTACAGTCGGCGGTGCCATCATCACTGTTGTTGCTCTTACATTACTTGACTAAGGGTGCAATCTTCCTTGTGCTCGTTACGTTCTTCAATCTCCTCCTTGTTCTGCTTACCCTCCTTTCCTAACCATATCCTTTCACGCTCCTGCAAGTACTTGTCATCCTTCCTGCCCTCATCCTTGTTCTCATACAGTTATTCTACTTCCTCAGCCGTCCTTCTGTTGTCCCTCCCTTTGCACCTCTCCGTCCTTCTCTTACTCCTCTTTCGGATCATCATCACCAAAGGATTGTCAGAGCCACAGAATCAAGGACAACTTACAAGGCTGCAAGCCTGCAAGTACTGTTTTCTATGGTGCAAGAGAGCAAAACTGAGGAGTCATGCACAAGGAAATGGGAGGAGAAGAGGAGGTGGAGGGCATCACTGACAGACCGCAGTTCTCGTTGAACATGTTTCCAGACATTCAGAGGCATCCTCGCCTCTTCAAGCCGCCTCTCCAACAGCAGCATGTCATCATCTTCGTTATCGCCTAGCTCCTCCTTAATCGCTTTCATCTGCAGAATAAACCCACAGCACATGCAGCAATTTAGCATCTGACCGAAAACAGGCCTGCGGCCCACATTAAACCACCAGTATGCCACCCAGCTGCACTGTGCACAGGCCCAGGTTAAGGCTCGCCCTATTGGACCAAAATGGCTGGTAGCACCTGGTAGGCCCTCGCGCTTGACAGTACAGAGGGCGAGGGCTGGGCAAAGTCACACATCGGGAAGCAGGGGCTCGGACGTACTACAGGAGTGGGTTAACTTGTATTGGAATAATGGCCAAAAGCATAATAAATACTAATAAATTAATAATTTGGGAAAGAACACACTGGAAAGGCACGCAAGACTCGCAAGTCGCATTCGGAAGGTCTTGGGATCAATCCCCATTGGCCTCATGTACCTTCCTGGGCAAGCTTGGCGCCCGCCACCTAGAGATATGCTGTTGGTTCCCCCCCCCCCAGTGGCATTGATCACAGACTGCTGATGTTCATAGGGGGGGGGGGGGACCGGAAGGGAGGCACAGTGACTGGCCCATCAAAGAAGCTCAGTCCTGATGCTACCGCCTGACCCCTGGTCGGTATCGCCCACCTGCTGTAGCAGGTATCGCACCTGCTGGTGGGTGCATCTCCCGCATGTTCCCTCGTTGGAGGCTTGAGCATGGATGTGGTTGCTACGGGGTTCCCCGTAACACTATAATGACAATAAAAAAAAGGTTTAAAAGGCCGTCCTGTCCAGATCAGACAGGTAATTGAATTGGTTGGGCTTCAAGAATTATGTAATGAAACCAGACTGGAAGATACTCATCAGGCGTCGAAATGCAAGACAACTCAGATCTGGACAATGTCTCCAATAATAATGAATGTGACCTCTGATACAATGTCTCGTTACCAGTAGACGAAGAGAGTGGAGGGGGAATAGACAGATAGGAGGGTGGAAGAGATAGTAATCATCAACAACCACCAAGAGAGTAGCCCAACATTTCCCACTCCATCTCCGGGCTTCCCCTCGCCTCCACGTCAGCAAACAGTACCCAGTAACGAGTCTGCCAAGTTCTGATCACATCGAAGTGCCACGTGGAACTATTCTCTCGTGAAGACAATGGAGACAATCAGCAGCACACAGTATTGGCGTCAACCTCAGGTAAGCATCCCGATCCCGATCAATCATCCACCGATCCCGATCTCCCTCCTTGTCGCGACCAATCATTCAGTATAGACAGCGTGGCCAATGCCACATCAGCAATGAAGACAGGTGGCATGCGCCACATCAGCAAAGGCTGGCGCTCATCAGAGAAAGTGCCATCATGTTGCCTCAGTCCCGTGTCGTCGTCCACAGTGCCAGCGCTTAGCCAGCGTCCAGCCAGCGTCCAGCCAGCGTCAAGCCAGCGTCAAGCCAGCGTCAAGCCAGCATCCAGCTAGCGTCAAGCCAGCGTCAAGGCAGCATAGCAAGACTGAATGTTGACTCCCCGGAGACCAAGCCTAATGTAGTGTTTGACGAGGCAGACTGGCCTCAGGTCTCCCACCCACGGTGGCTCAGATTCACTCACAGCCGAGGGCCTGGATTGTATAAAGTTGCAGACTTCCACTTGGTCCTGATGCTGTCTTGGTACCTGCATACAAACAAGTGAGTGTGTCTGACCGGCGGCCTGGGCTGGGTCCGTCTTGACTTTGACTGTAGGGCCTCAGGCAGTTGACCGAAGTCAACTGTCGGGCGCTCAGGCCCTGGGGCGATTTCGAAGGGCTTGCCCCTTCGACCTCTCGGCCAGAAGCCGGGGTCGCGGCCTGTGGGCCCCTTAGCCATTCAATGAGGCATAATGAATGGGTTATTGCAATTAGCCTTTAAAAAAAAAAACAAAAAAAAAAGTCTGGACACCATCACAAGCAACAGAAGGCACACCCCCGACACCTGATATGCCAGATCAAATCATCAGCCATGATAATGGAGACAGTATTGGTACCTGTTCCCGAAGAAGATATTCACGCCGCATCTTTGTTAGTTTGTCTTCTACTCTCTTTGAGATCTTATCAGTGACTTGTCCAGTCTGCCAACGAAGTCCAGCAAATTCAACCACAGAGATACTCCTGAATTAGGAACCTATCCCAAATAAGCTGTCTGACAGCAACCCATGAGTGCAAGCACACACACGTGCACGCGCACACACACACACACACACACACACACACACACACACACACACACACACACACACACATGTACGCACACACAAACACACACACATGTACGCATGCAGTCGCACACACACAGGCACAGACGGTTTACTTGTATTTGTTTTCTTTGGGCTGTGTTTATCTATTGTGTGGTTCAACCTTTTCCTGTGTTTGACTAAGTGACAAAGTTTAATGCCTTTAAGTTGTGCTAGATAGTCGATGTGTGTTTGCATGAAGTGCCTGCAATACTATCCGGGCGCTGTGGTGTTCAGGATGCCTGTGACTCTGTTTTCCGGTGGTGACAGACGTTTGTCTCGTCACCCGGACTCTCGTGGCTTCCTGGCTATTGATGGTGGAGTGATCCTACAATCTGCTGGGTCTTCCATATGATGTGTGTAGGTGATGGTTCACTTTGCTCCTTGCTGCTTCCATGGGTTCATCTGCTGCCGTGTGACTTGCTGTGTTGATGTTCCGTCCATCTACCCGCCTGCCTGCCTGCTCGCTTTACTGTGTGTTGCCTGGTGCTATATGAGTTGAGTGCCTTGATGTGTTGTTGTGTGTCCGCCCTCCGGCCCGCCTGCCCCTCCGCTTGCCTTGCTGCCTGCCTGCTAGGTTGTGCTATATGTTGCCTTGTCCATGCTGTGCTACATGCTTTGCTGTTTTTGGCCATTTGCATCAGGGTTTGAAGCTGGTTATGACAGAAAGCATTGTGAGGGGGATCCTGCAGTCTCTCGAGGGTTCAGCATCCTGATGAGTCGGTGCACATCCGACAAAACAGTCTGTCACTACTTCTTTTTCTCTGTGCTGCATTGTTGTATGTGTCCTGGTTCGCTCGCAAACTGTGTAAAATGCATAAATGCTTCTCTTATGGTTCTGCATAGTCATTTCCTACCTTCCAGTTTACAAGGCATCCGTTCCATGCTCACTAGTTTTGGTTCCTGCTCACTTTCGATTGTCAGTCATACTCTGAATTTTTAGCCTACACGACATCTGCAGGTGGATGCAATTATACTCTTGGGAGGTTTTTTTAGCACTCTGTTTTGCAATTAAACCACAAGTCCATCCGAAGTTACTGTTCACCTGTTTTCGTATACGAGTACCGGCCCAGGGCCTTTCTGCCCGGGGCCGGTAGAGCAACGGATCAACAATAACATGAGGCCCCAAAATATCTGTGAGGGGCCCAGACTTTTCAACAATAATAAAGAGGCCGGTACCAGAACAGTGTTTATTTTTCCAACTGCCAGTACCGGCCACTTTTAGGCTCGGCAAAATACATTTTTTCATTCATCAGTTTAGCGTTCGGAGGACTGGTGGTTCTTATGCAAGTAGCACGGTTTGCATCCATAGTTTTCTCAGGAGCAATTGAACAATTTTCACTCACTGCTTCTGTGCAAGTCGTTGTATGGTACCACACTTATGTGAGGCACTTTCCATCTGTGCCCATGCACACATGCACACACACACACACACACACACACACACACACACACACACACACACACACACACAAAGTCAGTGCTTTCTTGCTGGTGGAGTCCTCTGTCTTAGGTAAGTTGCTTCTTGCCCTTCACCCTTTTATGGATCAAATACATACATATATGTATTATGTATATATTGTCACATCATATCGTCAAACAGAGCTGCCCGGTAAACTGTACGGAGAGAGGGAGTGTATGTGCAAGTGTGCCGCTTCGGCAGCAGATGGGTGTGTGGGCACATGGCGCTGAACCACACAAACGTGGCCAACCTTGCATTTTATATGATATTGACTATCTAATCTATAGAATCTAGTATAGATTCTAAACTTTTTCATTATGGATGTTTTTTTGTGATTTGTGGAGGAAACGAGAGAGAGAATTTGGGGTGCTTTAAACACACACACACACACACACACACACACACACACACACACACACACACACACACACACAATTTATTAGTACTTCTCCTATCATGAGGCATTCGTCATGTTTTGCTCACTGCTTTCACTCTATTTCTACACCGTCCTTTATGTATCTTTATGTACGACGACCCAGCTTCACGAAAGTGTCCCGATCCACCTCGAGTGTATGTACAAAGACCCAACATCAGCCCCATTCTAATTCTGTTGCTAATGCATATAGCACCACTTTCACAAATCTTCACTGCCTTCCATTAGGCCTCTCTCTCTCTCTCTCTCTCTCTCTCTCTCTCTCTCTCTCTGTGTGTGTGTGGGGCTCTCCCACTGCCTCTTGCTGTCTCCCTTTCCTTGCTAATCCATGCCAGTCCAAGCCTCT